AGATTAATTTCATAATATTACGAGATTAAAGTTAAGAGATTAATATATATGATATATAATGCCAAATGCTAGTTAAAAAAATGGAATGTTAGCAAAAACATGCAACAAGCTAGCTAAAATATTCCAAATGCTAGCTAAAAGATGTTCAAATGCTAGCTAAAACATGCTACAAGCTAGCTAAAATATGCTGCATGCTAGTTAAAAGATGGAATGCTAGCTAAAAATATGCAACAAGCTAGCTAAAATATGCCAAATGCTAGCTAAAAGATGTTCAAATGCTAGCTAAAACATGCAACAAGCTAGCTAAAATATGCTGCATGCTAGTTAAAAGATGGAATGCTAGCTAAAAATATGCAACAAGCTAGCTAAAATATGCCAAATGCTAGCTAAAAGATGTTTGAATGCTAGCTAAAACATGTTACAAGCTAGCTAAATTATTTTCAGTTCTAATATATGCAGCAAGCTAACTAAAATACGCCACATGCTACCTTAAGGTTGGTCGAATGCTAGCTTAAAAATGCTACAAGCTAGCTAAAAGATGTTTGAATGCTAGCACAAGCTAGCTAGAATATGCCAAATGCTAGCTAAAAGATGTTCAAATGCTAGCTATAACATGCTACAAGCTAGATAAATATGCTGAATGCTAGTTAAAAGATGGAATGCTGGCTAAAATATGCAATAAGCTAGCTAAAATATGCTCAGTGCTGACTAAAATATGCAACAAGCTAGCTAATATATGCTGCATGCTAGTTAAAAGATGGAATGCTAGCTAAAATATGCAACAAGCTAGCTAAAACATGCCAAATGCTAGCTAAAAGATGTTTGAATGTTAGCTAAAACATGCTACAAGCTAGCTAAATTATTTTCAGTTCTAATATATGCAGCAAATATGCCACATGCTAGCTTAAAAACGCTAAATGCTAGCTAAAAGATGTTCAAATCCTAGCTAAACATGCTACAAGCTAGATAAATATGCTGAATGCTAGTCAAAAGATGGAATGCTAGCTAAAATATGCTCAGTGCTAACTAAAATATGCAACAAGCTAGCTAGAATATGCCAAATGCTAGCTAAAAGATGTTCAAATGCTAGCTACTATATGCTACAAGTTAGCTAAAATCTGTTCAGTGTTAGCTAAAAAATTTTTATTGTATGTAATTTTTTTGTTTTGTTTTAATGAAATGAATAAATGAATAAATAAATAAAATAAAAAATAAAATATGCAACAAGCTAGCTAAAGGGTGCTGAAACCTGGTCAAAAGATGCAGCAACCCAGCTAAAATATGTAGAAAGCTAGATATAAGTTGCTCAGTGCTAGCTAAAAATATGCAACAAGCTAGCTAAAAGGTGCTGAATGCTTACTAGAAGATGCAGAAGGCTATAATTAAAAAAATAACAAAAAATCCTTAAAAACCAAAGAACTAACGTACTGATGTAACGTACTGATGTAATCGAGTCGTTGGTCTTGGATCTGGTTGTCTGGAGCTTGAGTCTCAGGAGAGAAGAAGGTTAAACATCAACTGCATCAGGAAACCACATCCAGAAGAGGTCAGCCTACCAGAGCCTCGGTCTGGTGAGCTCCTGGTGGAGCCTCCTGAGGCCCAGCTGGGTCAGGGACAGGACCGACCTTCTCAGGATCCTGAGAGGAGCTCCCTAATTTGTTGCAAACACAACAGAAATGTTGTGTGTCACCAGTTTCCAGGTGGAGAATGTGAAACTTCTTTGTTTGATGTGTTTAAATCTGTCAGAGGTGAAGCTGAAAACCAGAGGACCTCTGTGTGAACAAACTTTATTTTGACACGTCTGAAAGCTTCCAGCTGATTTAACCTGTGACCCTGGACCAGGACCTGGACCAGGACCTGGTTCTGAGAGCTGTCAGTGTTGTCACATGTCTGCTGCATTCCTCTCGTGCCTGTCGGACGCAGGAATGCAGCGCAGAGCCAACACCCTGCAGAGTCCCGAGTCCCGCCGGGAGCACCGAGTCCATTTATGGAGAGGCCGTGACGCTCCAGGAGACGTGCAGGGAGAGGCTCGGCAGGAAAAAACAATCTGCTGATAGAGTCTGAGACGGAGGGAAAGTCTGCAGAGAGAAAATATCTGTGAAAAGGAGCGATTCCTGCAGTCTGATGGAAACACCTCAGACGCCTGAATCACCGTCTGCAAACGTTGTGTAGGAGTCAGTCTGCAGCGTCTGTGTGGTCCCCTCTGCTTTCTGCAGACACGGATTAAAGTCTGCACTTTGGGTTTACCACACGTCTGGAGCCAGAGGAGGCTGCTGGGCGGAGTCGGAGCAGAGCTGGAACAAACTGCTCTGAACAGAAAGGCCCAGACGCTTAATAAAAACTGTTTTATTTGTTCAGACCCTCTGGATCTGAGGCTCCGCCTCCAAACAGCAACAAGACACAAAACGTTCTGTTGTTCATTTTAGCTTCGCTCTAATTAGCTGCAGTTAATTTACACGTCCAGAAACCAAATAAAAAACTTTTCCTGCAAAAATCCTGCACAAATACTGAGGCTGGATACTTGTGTTGATGTTTCCTGAAACTGAAACAAAGCTGGTAAAGCTAAAAGATGCTGGACACTAGCTAAAATCTGCAAAAAGCAAGCTTAAAGATGCAGAAAACTGGCTCAAATGTGACAAGTGCAAGCTAAAAGATGCAGAATGCTAGCTGCAATATGCAACAAGCTAACCAAAMGTTGCATACTGCAAGCTAAAATAGGTAGTGAGCGAACTAAAAGAAGCAGAATACTAGCTAAATATGCTGCAAGCTAATTTAAAAATACACAGCTACAATAAGTTAGCTTGCAGCAAGCTACATTTTGTAGAAAGACAGCTAAAAATGCTCAGTGTTCAGTGTTATATGTAACAAGCTAGCTAAAGATTCTCAATGATAGCTAAAGTATGCTGCAAGATAGTTAAAAGATGCTCAACACTAGCTGAAATATGCTGCAAGCTGGCTAAAACATGCTCAACATTAGCTAAAATATGCAACAAGCTAGTTAAAAGATGCTCAACATTAGCTAAAGTATGCTGCAAGCTAGTTAAAAGATACTCAACACTAGCTGAAATATGCTGCAAGCTGGCTAAAACATGCTCAACATTAGCTAAAATATGCAACAAGCTAGNCTCAACACTAGCTGAAATATGCTGCAAGCTGGCTAAAACATGCTCAACATTAGCTAAAATATGCAACAAGCTAGTTAAAAGATGCTCAACATTAGCTAAAGTATGCTGCAAGCTAGTTAAAAGATACTCAACACTAGCTGAAATATGCTGCAAGCTGGCTAAAACATGCTCAACATTAGCTAAAATATGCAACAAGCTAGCTAAAAGATGCTCAACACTAGCCAAAACATTCTTAGTGCTAGCTAAAATATGCTGCAAGCTAGTTAAAAGATGCTCAACACTAGCTAAAAGATTCTCAATGCTAGTTAAAAATGCTGTAAGCTAGCTAAAAGATACTCAACACTAGCTGAAATATGCAGCAAGCTGGCTAAAACATGCTTAACATTAGCTAAAATATGCAACAAGCTAGCTAAAAGATGCTCAAAACTAGCTAAAAGATTCTCAGTCCTAGTTAAAAATGTTCAATGCTAGCTAAAAGTGCTGCAAGCTAGCTGAAAGATTCTAAATTCTAGCTATAATATGCTACAATCTAGCTAAAAGATGCTCAATACTAGCTAAAAGATTCTCAGTGCTAGTTAAAAATGCTCAATGCTAGCTAAAAATGCTGTAAGCTAGCTAAAAGATACTCAACACTAGCTGAAATATGCTGCAAGCTGGCTAAAACATGCTCAATATTAGCTAAAATATGCAACAATCTAGCTAAAAGATGCTCAACACTAGCTAAAAATGCTCAATGCTAGCTACAAATGCTGCAAGCTAGCTGAAATATGCTGCAAGCTAGTTAAAAGATGCTCAACACTAGCTAAAAGATTTTCAGTGCTAGTTAAAAATGCTGAATGCTCTAGCTAAAACATGCTCAACGCTAGGTAAAAATGCAACAAGCTAGCTAAAAGATTTTTAGGGTAGTTAAACTGTGCAGCAATCTAGCTAAAATATGCTCAATGCTAGCTAAATTATGCAAAAGTAACGGAATGATGCAGAAAATGTGCTAATAGATACACAATGATAGCTAAAAGCCAAGTAACCTCTAGCTCAAAGTACCAGAAATTAAGTTAAAAACTAAAAGTTTGAAAATGCTAACTAGAATTCAAATAAGAAAAAACAGAGACCAACAATGATTTTTAGGCAATTGAAAATATGGGGAAATATTTGTAAACTAAGTGAAATATTAAAATAAAAAGTGTAAAATTTAATGAAACCAGAATTTATAGCCTTCACTTCCAGAATAAAAACAGTTATACTGGGAAAAAAAAACAGCACTGACACAATAAAGCTGACTAAACATGATAAAAAATAATCATAAAACGTCTGCAAACTGAAGAAATTCTCATTAAACTGTTCTCAGGCAGCTCCTTTACATCAAGTTTGCTTCTCATTTGAATAAAGATCATCTAAAACTGTCCCAGCTGGATCACAAGAACTGGTCTGGGTTCATCCTGAAGCCTTCTGCACCTAAAAATCTGAATTTATGGTTCGTCCAGTAAAACAGCTTTATTTTATACATTTGTTGTTAATGTAAAAAAACACTGTGGTCCTAAAATAATCAGCTGTCCTGAGATTTTGCCATAAAAACGTTAAAAACATAAGATGTAAAAAAATATGTGTAAAATACTGAAATTGTGCACAAATAGTCAAACACAGTAAATATTGGGAAAATCTGCAAAA